AAGAAGTTATAGAATTAAAAATACAAATAATAATTTAGACTTCACAGACATATAAAATATTTCATCCATCAGGACTGAATACACTTTCTTCTTGGCAGCCCATGAATCCTTCTCTAAAATAGATAATATCTCAGGCCACAAAGCAACTCTTGCAAATACAAAAAACTGAGATAGTACCTTGCATTTTGTCAGATCATAATAGAATGAAATTAGAAATCAATGATAAAATAAAGAGTAGAATCTACTCTAACACCTGAAGAGTAAATAACATACTACTGAATTACCTATAAATAGCAGAAGAAATCAGGGATGAAATAAAAAAAAATACTTAGAGGTAAATGAGAATAGCAGCACAACATATCAAAAATCTCTGGGAGACTATGAAGACACTGCTAAGAGGAAAGTTCATTGGACTGAGCTCATTTATTAAAAGAATAGAAAGTCAACAAATAATTAACCTAACATTACATCTCAAAGCCCTAGAAAAAGAAGAATAAATCAACACCAAAAGTAATAGAAGACAGAAAATCATAAATCAGAGTGAAAGTCAATGAAGAAAACAAAAGAAATAATCCAAAAAATGGATGAAACAAAAAGTCGATTCTTTGGAAAAATAAATAAAATTGTTGAACCCTTAGCCAAGCTAATAAATAAAAAGAGAAAACTCAAATTACCAAAATTCACAATGAAAATGGAAATATCACAACAGACGCTACTAAAATACAGATGATAATCAGAACCTATTTTGAAAATTTATTCTATAATTTAATAGAAAATTTTGAAGACAGCAATAAATGTCTAGAGACATATGATCTCCAAATTGCATCATGACTACCTAGAAAATTTAAACAGATCAATTTCAAGCAATGAAATCGAAGACACCATTAAAAGCCTATCAAGAAAGAAAAGCCCAAGACCAGATGGATTCTTAGCCATGTACTACCAGAACTTCAAAGAATTAACACCAATTCATGTCAAATGATTTCATGAAACAGAAAAGGATAGAATCCTTCCAAACTTATTCTATGCAGCTAGTATCACCATGATACCAAAACCAGACAAGGACATATCAGGAAAGAAAACTTCATACCAATATCCCTGATGAACATAAATACAAAAATTTTCAATTAAATTGTGGCAAACTGCATACAAAAACATATTAAAAAGACACTGCACCGTGATCAAGTAGAGTTCGTCCCAGGGATGCAAGGTTGGTTCAACATACAAAAATCAATAAACCTAATTCATCACATTATTAGACATAAAGACAAGAATCACATGATCATCTCAATAGATGCAGAAAAAGCATCTGACAAAATTCAGCATCTATTCCTATTCAAAACACTAGAAAAACTAGGGATACTAGAAACATACCTCAATATTCTAAAAGCTATATATGCTAAACCCCAGAGCAACATCACTCTCAGTGGAGAAAAAATTGAAAGCATTCCCTCTAAAAACTGGAACAAGACACTTTCACCACTTCCAGGCAACATAGTCCTTGAAACTCTAGGCAAAGCAGTTAGAAGAAAGAAATTAAAGTGATACAAATAGGAAAAGAAGAGATCAAATTATCCCTATTTGCTGATGACATGAATCTATATTTAAAAGACTCCAAAAACTCCACCAGAAAATTGCTAGACTCAAAAATGAATTCAGCATAGTATCAGGATATAAAATTAACACCCATAAATCAATTGCATTCCTATACACAATGATGAATCAACTGAAAGAGAAATTAGGAAAACTACCCCTTCAAAATTGCCTCCAAAAAAAATTGGAGAATCAAGCTGACAAAAGAGGTGAAAGACCTCTATAATGAAAATTACAGAACACTAAAGTAAGAAATTGAAGAAGACCTTAGAAGATGGAAAGATCTCCCATGTACTTGGATAGGTAGAATTAATATTGACAAAATGGCCATACTTACAAAAGTGCTATATATATTTAATACAATTCCTATTAAAATTCCAATAATGTTGTGCATAGAAATAGAAAAAGCAGTCATGAAATTCATTGGGAAAAATTAAGAGGCCCAAAATAGCCAAAGCAATCCTCAACAAAAAAGTGAGGCTTCACAATACCAGAACTTAAATTATACTACAGAGCTATAGTAACAAACAATGAATGGTATGTGTTTGGCACCAAACCAAACATGAAGACCAATGGTACAGAATAGAAGATACAGAGACAAACCCCCATAAATATAGTGATCTCATATCGCCATAAACATACACTGGAGAAAGACAGCCTCTTCAACAAATGGTGTTGAGAAAACTGGATATCCATATGGAGAAGATTGAAATTGAACCTTCTCTCTCACTCTTCCCAAAACTCAAAGTGGATCATGGACCTGGGCATTAGACCAGAGACCCTGCAACTGCTAGAAGAAAATGTAGGCCCAATTCTCCATCATGTCAGCTTAGGAACCAACTTCCTCAACAATACTCCTAAAGTGCAAAAAGTAAAATCAAGAATCAATAAATGGGATATTATTAAACTAAAAACCTTCTTCAAAGCAAAGAAACAATCAAGAACATTCTGTAGAGATCCTACAGAATGGGAGAAAATCTTTGCCACATGTATATCATACAGAGCATGTATCTCTGGTAGATATTAAAAACTCAAAAACTTAACACCAAGAAAACAAACAACCCAATATATAAATAGGCAAGGCAACTGCACAGGCACTTCACTGAAAAAGAAATACAAATGCTCAAAAAATTATGAAAAAATATTCAATATCTCTAGCAATTAGAGATTGCTACTCCAATTCCAATTCACTCTACTCAGAATGGCCATTATAAAGAATAAAAGTAATAATAAATGTTGGCGAGGATACGGGGGAAAAGATTCAATCATACATTGTTAGTGGGACTGCAAATTGGTGCAACTGCTCTATAAATAGTATGGGGATTCCCCAGAAAACTTGGGAATAGAATCACCATTTGACCCACTAATCCCACTCCTTAATATATACCAAAGGGAGTTAAAAATCAGCAAACTACAGTGATGCAGCCACATTAATGTTTACAGCAGCTCAATTTACAATATCGAAGCTATGGAACCAATCTACATGCCCTTCAACAATGAATGAATAAAGAAAATTTGGTGTATGTACACCATGAAATATTATTCAGCCATAAAGAAGAATAAAACTATAGAATCTACCAGTAAGTGCACAGAACTGGAGAATATCATGCTAAGCCAATTCCAAAAAATCAAAGTCAGAATGTTCTCTCTGATATGTGGTTGCTAACACACAATAAGGGGATGGGGAAGGAAATAACAGAAGTTCATTGAATTAAACAAAGGAGAGTGAAAGGAAAGGAGGAGGAAAGGGAATAGGACAGACAGTAGAATGAACTGGACATAACTTTCCTATGTTCATATATGAATACACAACCAGTGTAACTCCACATCATATACAATCACAAGAATGGGATTCTAAGTTATACTCCATGAATGTATAATGTAACAAAATATATTCTACTGTCATTTTTATTTAAACAGAACAAATTTTAAAATTTTTTTAAAAGAGGTATCCTTCTGATTACTAGGGGCTGGGATGCTGGGGTCAGGGTAGAAGTGTAGAAGAAGGGTAAATGGATATGGTAAATGCACAATGTATGTATGTATGGAAATATCACAGGGAATCCCACTAAAATATATATTAATATGTATTCATAATTATAGTAATTGAAAACAGGTGTTATTCTTACACTTTAAGGGAAGTATCATAGTTTTCAATTTTTTTGAAAATATTTTTATTATGCTGGGTATAGTATCTAGATCTTCACACATGCTAGGAAAGCATTCTACCACTGAGGCACACCAGTCAAAACATCCTTCTCTCTGAAGACACAAGATCAAAGATAAGACTCTTAACCAACAGCAAGTTGCTCTTAGGTTAATATCATTAGCTCATGCTTTTCTTTTTAATCCAGTCATACATCTCCACAGCCATCCACTTCTTCATCAAACCTCGCACAGATTTACTGACTGATTTGGGTCTTAATTTTCTTATAAAGGTTGTCATGTCACATAAAACATTTTAAATATATCTCTATTAATTTGTTAATCTGTCATTTACTTGACAGATAGTGATTTGTCTATCATGTAGAAGACAGACATAACATGGCTGGGGCCTCAGCCATGAACCTTGTGATAGAAAGGAAAATATTTTTCCTTGCCTAAAAATCAGGCAATAAAAGTAAATACATTTAATTTATAGTAAGAAGTTTTATTCCCAAGTTCATACATAACATTTCTTTTAGAAATATAAATAAATGTACTTGTGCAAGTTGTCATTCATGGAGGGAGGAAGAAAAATTGGAGACAAAGTAAATGAAGAGATACTACTATTCTGATTGATTTATATCCTTCTTTGAATTGTCTTATTTTTAAGCTCCCATTTTAACACTTACTTAAAACATTAAATACCAGATATATATTTGTTCCTTGAGAGAGAGAAAAATAATCTGATTATCTTTTTGTTTAATTGAAGAGCAGGAGAAAACAGACATTATTTTCAAGTAGCATCCCGGGAATGTGTAAGAAGTAATTCAATCTTTTGAGACAGGAAACCAGTCATTCAGGAAAAAATCTTCCCTGTTACTTTTTTAAAACAAATTCTCTAAATGTAAAAGATGGTAAACATATTTGTTATTCCTTGCTTTCTAGCTAAACTCTGGTAACTATCTGCCTAGAAAAAAATAATGTAATAATTACAACAAATTCACTATAGTAATTAAAACTATCACTAATAAATTAATGTTATATAACACATATACAACCTAAATATAAAAATAAATGGATTAAGCAACAAAGATTTTAAACAATGTTCATTAAGATCTTGTTACTATTCTAATTTAAAGAGCACGTAAGTTTTAAATTAATTTGCCACATGCTTTGAGTTCTAAAATTGCAAATTAATTAGAAAGCCAAAAATTATTATGGTCACATTAAGGTTTAAACAAAATGCTACTGGAAAGACTTACCAGGTGTTTTCTTCTTACAAGATATCTGATTTACCATATATAGGTTAAGGAGGTCTAAACTGGCAGTGGAATTTTTTGCAGGGGACAAAACTCCCAGTAATTTCATTTTTGATTTTAACCTGTTCCTTTCAAAGTATTCCTAAAATAATTTAAAATGTTAAAAATTAATGCATCAACCAGTTAATTTAAGGCAGAACCATAAGTCATAAATGCACTAATGGTATTAAATCATTGACTTGATATTTGTATATTTTTGTGACACCACCTTTATATGTCTACATATGAATTAAAATCGATTATAATAACTTGTAACTTGCTTAAAAACTCTAAATTTCACAGCATTTAATAAAGTTTCTCTTGGATTTTTTAATTAATTTTTATTATAACATATGATATTTTAAAATGGAATTTTTTTAAAAAAAAGTATTCCCAGGTATCAAAAATAATCTATATGCATAGTATAATAAAAACATTTGGCCAGGTACAATGGCACACGCCTGTAATCCCAGCAGTTTGGGAGGCTGAGGCTGAAGGATCACGAATTCAAAGCTAGCCTCAGCAACTTAGTGAGGCCCTAAGCAACTCAGTGAGACCCTGTCTCTACATAAAATTGAAAAAAGGGCTGAGGATGTGGTTCAGTGGTTAAATGCCCCTGGGTTCAATCCCTTGTACAAAAATAAACAAACAAAAACAAATCCGACAGGTTAAAAACCTGTTCTTCTACAAAGTATGCTATCCTATAAATATAAAAATGCCTTAAGGGTATGTTGCAGCTAAGTGTCATTAAAAGTCAGCAGAAATGAGAAATGAGAAAGAAGGAAACTTTGTAAAAATTATCTGCAATCAATGCCAATTTAGTTCACTGTATTATCCCTCCTTTATTCCTAGAAGGTTGTTTTTTTTTTTAAAAAAAAAAGACAGATCTGCACATAATTATTATTCTTCATTCAGTTTTTATTTTCTTCCTGCTTGAACTATAATTATTCTTCCTTTTTTTCAAATTACGTCTTTAATTGACCAAATTAAAAAACACTGATTTGTGTAATATTAACTGAGCAAATATTATGTGCTAAACACTGTAACAAATTGTCTTTAAACATTTTCTATTCCATTATATAATTCATAATACAATACCATAGCTTCCTTAACATGTGAGTAGTTAGAAGGAAAAAGTCTAAGACAGGAAAAATCTTAACATAAGAGTCATATTTCCAAATAATTATATATCATATTTTCAAGAGGGTAAGGCTCATTCATATTAACTTCTTGGAATACTGTCAATTACAACCAACTTTAAAGGTTTTAGAAAACTTGTAAGAACTATAAAAGACTTGCCAACTATCAAACATAATAGTAAATGTTCTCTTATACAAAATATATCATAGATAGAGGGTATGCATACATATTTCATTTGAGTAATGTACAATCCTAAATTTGACTAAAATGTCTTTTAAATGATCATAGTATGATTCAGTAATAAAATAGTAGAAACCTCAGGATGAAAATATTTCTGCCCTTAAAAAAACTGTAATCCCAGCAGCTTGGGAGGCTGAGGCAGGAGGATTGCAATTTCCAAGCCATCTCCAACAATTTAGTGAGATCCTGGCTCAAAATAAAATAAATAAATAAATAAAGAGGGTTGGAAATGTGGCTCAGTGGTTTAGAGTCCCTGGATTCTATCACTGGACCAAAAAAAATTACCTATCAATGCTAGATCTTATACTTGATGGTGTACTGGAATTAAGAATATTATTTCTTGAGGCACTGTATTTTATGATAGATGAAATCATAGGAATGAGAGACACAATTACAACTGAGTATGACAGGGGATGATATAAAATACTGTGGAAGGTTAATGTAATGGGGGAGGATGGACAGATGGAGGGCAGGAGGACTAGGATTTTTTTAGGAAATGATTTCTAAGATAGATACATGAATCAGAGTTAGCCAAAGGGAGTAGAAATTAAAGGTTCCAAGAATAAGGGGAAAATACAAAGACTGTCTGCAAAGTGAGTAGCCTTGATTCCAGGAAACATCCCAAGAGAGGTTTATCCCTACTCAAGCTATCATGCTACCCATAATCTCTGTTCCTAGAAAGGACAAGAGTATGTCACTGATTTACCTGATATGACCAGGCTCAATTTTTCTATCAAGTCTTACTTGGTAGAAAAAAAACTAGAAAACAATCTGAATAAGAAAACTTTCAGAAAATCATAAATCAAATTTTAACTTAAAGCCATTAAAAAAGGAATAACCAGAGAGGCAGAAATAAAATCCAGAGAATGAGTCAAAGAAAGCATGGGATCAGTTTGTTTAAAAATAAAGGAAGTGGCAGACTACATTGGAAATATCATCATATTAAAGTAAGTTGGGCTGAAAAACATTCTTTTGATTCAACAATAGAAGGTTCATTGTTGACATTAACAAGAATTGTACAGTGCAGCAGACTAAGAACTAAATGTGAAGTGAGAGTGAAGGGCCACAGAAGAAAAGGAAAGGATCCAAAGAGGACAACTATGCTGCCTTCACTGTCATTCCTTTTAATTTAAATTTTACTACCTTTGACATATTAGGACACTAGGTTTTTGTTCCTTTGTTTTTACTGCTTTGGACTTTTTGTGAAAGGAATCTTATTGCTTGTCTTCTTCGGTGAGTGGTTCTTTTGCTCAACATTATGTCCTTGAGATTGATCTACCTAATTACATGAAGTCGATACATACCATTACTTGAATATACCACAATCTCTTTGATAATTCTATTACTAATGGGTGTTTAGGTTATTCCCCTCTCTTATTCCTCCCTCTAGATGCACTTCTTTTTTCTCCTTCTTGTTTCTTTTTGTTTGCTATTTTAACAATAAAAGTGACCCAAACAATCTTATACATTATCTCTAAGTACACATGTATAAGAGTTTCTTTCAGGCATATACCACTCAGTATATACTTGCTCAACTTTATAACACAATCAGTAAAATAAAAAAGGACAAGTTAAAGCATGACAAAGGACAAGAGACCATTATAGTACTTTAGGCAGTAAATGATGATGTGAATTATAGTGCTAACACTATAACAGTGAGAAGAGGTCAGACTTGAAATATACCTTAGAACTAGAAGGATGTAAATAATCAACAATAATCTTTAAATCTCTGTCTGAGCAAAAGTATTTAAACAAGCTATCTACAAGGATGAAGACTAAAGAAAGATGATTGATTTGATTCACTTAGGTGAACTTATTAATAGTAGAAAATATTTCAGAAGATCACGATTCACATAAGGATAACACAAGTAAAAATATATCTTCCTCACCTTTTGTTTTCTCCTCTCCTGCTTGATCAGAACCCTGGTTCTAAAAATGGAAGCAAGACAGAAGATACAGTGATTAAAGAAATGACTTTAAAGACAATTGCCACCAGGTGTGGTGGTGCATGCATGCAATTCTAGCAGCTTGAGAGGCTGAGGCACGAGGATAATGAATTCAGAGCTAGCATCAGCAAAAGCAAAGCACTAAGCAACTTGGTGAGATCCTGTCTCTAAATAAAATACAAAATAGGGTTGGCCTATTATAAAATGTGGTTCAGTGGTTGAATGCCCCTGAGTTCAATCCCCAGTACCACAAAAAAAAGGCAATTTCTATTTTAGTTGAATTAAAGACTTGAAATGTAGTGATCATTGTATTTTCTTTTTAAAATTTTTTTTTACTTTTTTTTTAGTTATCAATGGAATTTTATTTTAATTATTTAAATGCAGTGCTGAAAATCAAACCCAGTGCCTCACACATGCTAGGCAAGTGCTCTAACACTGAGCTACAACCCAGTCTAATTGCATTATCTTCTAAAAAGAAACTACAAAAATATTATTAATGTATTTATAGTATACATTTCACAAAATTTTCTTAGGAAATCCAGGATATAATAAAAAATGAATAATTGGCACAAAATAAATCTTAATTATAAAACCAAGATAGCAAAAGAAAGTAATACATTAGAAAAGATCTATTATTGAAACATTTCATCTGATAACAAAATCCTTGGTCAATATTTCTATTTTCTTTGCCTTTCTTTGTATTTAGACATTCTACTGAAATTGACAGGGAATCAAGAAGAGGCAAAAATCTATTTAAGATCCACAGAAATGTTAAGTTTAGTGCCAGAGCAAAACAAATTCAGATACATTAATAAATCAGTTATCTGTACTTTAAACCTCATACCTTATATCTTAGTCCTTTAACTCAAATATTGCAAGTTGAGTAGCTGATGTTAGGTTCAGAAAACTGAGCCCCAAAATATGCCACTTTGGCATGCTGAATATCCATATGTAGGAGAATGAAATTAGATTCTCTATTCTTACCCTGTACAGAAGTCAATCAAAATAAATCAAAGATCTAAGTATAAGATCAGAAATACTGTAACTATTAAAAGGAAATATAGGGGAAACAATCCAACATATAGACACAGGCAACAACTTCTTGAATAGGACTCCAATAGCTTAGGAAATTATTGCAACAATTGACAAATGGGACTGCATCAAATAAAACAGCTTCTGTACAGCAAAGGAAACAATTACCACATGAAAGACAACCTACAGAATGGGAAAACTTGTTCCTAGCCACTCTTCTGATATAGGATTTATATCTAGAATATATAATGAACTCAAAATCTCAACATCAAAAGAACAATCCACTAAAAAATGGACAAATGAATTGAACAGACAGTTCTTAAAACTAGTAATACAAATGGTCAACAAATATATGAAAAAAAATGTTTAACTTCTTTAGCTATCAGGGAAATGCAAATCAAAACTACATCGAGAATCTATGTCACTCCAATCAGAACAGCAATCATCAAAAATAATAAATGCTGGTGAAGAAGCAGGAAAAGTGAAACTATTACACACTGAAGATGGGAATGTAAATCAGTACAGCCACTGTGGAAACCAGTATGGAGGTTCCTAAAAACCTAAAATAGAACTACCATATAATCTAGTTCTACTATTCATAGTTCTATTAGCAATGTTTCCAAATTTGGAAATATTCATGGACTACTATACACACTTTCATCAAATTTAATTAACCAAAATTTAGATGCAACCTGGCATCTCATTTTATAGCTAAAATCTTGGTAAGTTTTTCACACAATATTCCTGGTAGTCTTACAGGTAATAAGATTTTAATAAACAACATTATAAATATAATTATCCAAAAAAATTAAAGTCAGTATACTTTAGTGATATACACATACCTATTTATCACAGCACAGCTACAATAGCCAGGCTATAGAATCTGCTCAGGTTTCCATCAACAGATGAACGTGATACAGTTTTATTCAGCCAGAAAGAACATTTTCTTGTAAATAACATAGAGAAATTGTGTTATTTACAAGAAAATGGATAGAACTGGATAGTATTATGTTAACTGAAGTGAGCCAGACTAGAGAAAGATCATATTTTCTATTACATGTGGAAGTTAGTGTGAATTGAGGGATGAACATCATGAAAATAGAAATGAGATCAATAGGGTAGGAAAATGGAAGCTGGAAGAGAGGAAGGCAAGGGAAAGAAAACTGTCCAAATCATTTTATATGCATGTATCAATGTCACAAAGAAATCCACCATTCATTATAATAGTTGTACAATAAAATAAAAAATATTTTAGGAAATAACAGAAGTAAAATCTTGACCAAAAAAAATCTGAGCTTAGATCATAAATCCATTCACAATCTTTAACACAGACTAGGAAACAAGCAACTGGGGCTTTTTATTTTCACTTTCGACAGAAAGAGGTGACCTATGCCTCTCACAAAAACTCATGAGGTAGGAAACACTTCACACATAAACAAGGATCAAATGTTGGGCTACTAAAGAATACAAACGTCTTCTAAAGAGCTGCTCTACAATAAAATTAAAATAGGTGGTAATTAAAAAGTTATTTTAATTTGGCCATGTCATTCATACACATACACACACACACACACACACACATTTATGTATACACACACACATACACACATATACCTCCTAATATTGCTTCTTATGATTTACTTACAATAATACAAAATGAGACAGCAATGACAAGAGGACATATTCCCTAAGCAATGGATGAAAGTAGCACACACTTTATGTATCTAATAAAAATGATTCATGCCATCAGATGTAACTTTCCTATGTTCACATATGAATACATGACCAGTGAAACTCCATATCATGTACAACCATGAGCTTGGAATCCTAATAAGTTATACTCCATGTATGTATAGTATGTCAAACTGCACTCTGCTTTCATGTTATCTTAAAAGAATAAAAAATGATTCATACCAAAAAAATTTGCACATAATCCAAAAAATTTGCCAGTGAATCATCAAGTCATTTGCATTCTACATTGACTATTACAATATGTAACCAATTTACCAAAATTAAATTTTAAAAGGTTACTTTGATCTTATGCAAATGCTCTCCAACATATTTTACTACATGGGAAAACACTCTAAAACATATATCTGATTATCACTTAAGAATAGGACTTCCATAGAATGGTCCGAATTTAGTTTTCAACTCTTGTTTTTTGGTTATCCACTTCATGAACTCATTCCCAAAGTAAAATCTATATATAGTACTCTTTTCCATGTTAAGATACTTTCTTCATCATATATTCATATTTAAAACTTTCAATACTTTCAAGACTCCATTGATATACCAATCTATTAATGAAATCTATCTGTACTTTATAAAATAACTTTTATTAGAGTTTCTCTAATTTTTGTCTTAATATTTGAAAGATCAGAGACTTAGTGGTAGGAAGAAGGGTGAGAACAAGGCTAATCCTTTTTAAACTAACGACTATTTTATCCTGGAAAACATTTTATTTTTTACAGTACTGGAACTTGAACCCAATGGTACTCTACCATTGGTTACAGTCACAGGTTTTTTATTTTTTTATTTGTGAGACAGTCTTTTAAGTTGCAGAGACTGTCCCCTTATGATCCTTCTGCCTCAGCTTCCCAAGTATCTGGGATTATAGGTGTGTACCATGACACTCAGCCTGGAAAGTGGATTTTTAAAGAAATACATTACAATCATCTTGTTCAATGAAAGTCTGAATGAACAATATTAGCTATCATTATAGTTATGTACTTTAAAGAAAATCTGTAGGTTTTTTTTCATAGAACACTGTACAAGTTATTCATTCTGTGTAGTAGGAATATAAATATTTGCTATTCTTTGCTAAGAAAAAAGTGAGAGAAGTGTAAAGGGTTAAGGGAAAGAAAATTAGAAAAAAGGTGGTGGGGAGAAATAAAAAAAGAAACAAAGAGAGATGGAAGGGAACCATACTGACAACAGAACTGTGAACTTCTGACCTTTGATAATCTTTCTAGTAAGAAAACATTTAAAAGAAAATGTTAGGCTGGAGTTATGGCTCAGTGGTAGAACATTTGCCTAGCATGTGTGAGGCACTGGGGTCAATTCTCAGCACTGCATATAAGTGAATAAAATAAAGATTCATCAACATCTTTAAAAAATAAAATGCTAAAAAAATCCTTTAAAAAATCCAAGATATGGAGTCAACCTGGGTACCCATCAATAGATGAATTGGTTAAAAAAAAAAGTAGTGTATACATACAATGGAGTTTCATTCAGCCATTAAAAAGTACATAATCATGGTATTTTCAGGAAAATGGATGGCATTGAAAGTTATCATGTTAAGGAAAATAAGACAGACACAGAAATACAAGTATCATATTTTGTCTCTCATATGTGGAAACTAAAAAGAAAATGTCTTAAAATAAATATCTATTAAAAAGACTCTTAAAGAAAGGAAAAGGCAGGATGCCTGGGGAAGGGGGGGCGTATATAGTAAGACAGTAGTAGTAAGGCAGGTATATATGAACAAAGCATGATATATACATGTATGGAAATATTGCAGTGAAAATCATTAATCTGTATAATTAATATGAATCAATAATTATAATAAAAATTTTAAAACAATAAGAAATTTGCCAAAGAATTGTTATAAACAGAACTAACCCATAAATTTTCATGGTGCATACAGGCAATATTGAAGCTACATCAGAAATTAAATACTATAGGTGTTATATAAGTACTGTACATTATCTGTCTTAAATTTCCCTTTTGTGTTTTTTGTGTGGTTTTACTTTTTTTTAGTTCCCTAATTAGTTTATATTCCTAGGGGCATGATGCCATGCAAAAGAAACTGTTTCAGAATGTTAACATCTTATAATAATATGTTCAGCAATTAAAATTAGAAAATATAAAGAAAATTAAAAGAGCAATAAATAACTAGCAGATGAAAAAATTCTACGCTTTGAATTACAGTGTAATTAATATTAAACTAAA